CATATATCGCTACGGCGCGCTATCGTGGAAAGATCGCTGATTACAGTGATTAATCCTTAAGCGGACGCGCGACACTTAATTTGATTACGGACTATTCTTTCAGTATTGTTGCCATTGTTCGAGCTCGCACTTGCGAGTTCTAGCGTAAATAACACTAGAAAATTACGACAGCGCAGAGGAGTGCTATGAAATCAGTCCTAAATGTCCATAATTACTGAGCGTTGTTCTTTGAAAATTCTTTGAAAATTTGTTGTTTGCACACCGTCTTATTTGGAGTGACATCAGTGTACATGCTAATTGACATTTGCCATAGCAGGAAACATCGTAATTTGTTGCTGAGAATAAAAGCTTAAATTATAAGGACAATGTGCGAACCGAAACAGGAGTTAATCTTTAAGATTATTCGAGTGATACGAATCCTTCCGGTATAAGAACTCACGATAAATTCACGTCCACCGTATTCGATCGTGATTTCCGGTCATTCGAATACCACTATGATTATTACCAAAGACTCTCAGACAACTCAGATTCCCAGGCGTGCCTTCGTAAAGAAACAATTATACGAACGAGTCGAAAGCGATCGCAGGTTGCACGAATAAAAGACGTTTCTTTCGCGAGGAGAAAAAGGCGACTGTAGAAAGCGAGAGGATCGTCACCGTCATCCCTCTGAGGACGTAAGACGAAACGGATGAGCGACGCGTCGATCTTCTTCTCGAATATGTGGACATTATGAACCTCTCGTTCTCTCAGAGCGATCGGCAACCCGCGAGGAAAAAGGAAAAGGTAGTGCAGCGAGATGAGAGAGAAGAGGTCTGGCCGGCGGAGATACATCCGTTTGTTTTAATCGCTAATCACCAATTATCCAGGAGCGTCCCGTGCCCAAAACTCCCAGAAACATTTTAACGAGCCGCCGTGTCGCTTGGGCTCGGAATTTCACTTTGGTCCGAGGCCCGATGGGCTTCCACCGCGCTCTCTCGACGACCGTCCATGCCATGGGTGTTCAGAATATATCTCTCGTCCTGTTCCGTGGTTCATCCTATGGTCCATTCGCTCTGTCGTCCGCCTATCTCGCTTTGAACCATGTATGTGCGTGCGCGTGTGTGTGTGTGCGCGCGCGCGCCCGTACCAATTAGTGCATACTTTGGCTCTCGGTGTCTTAGGGGCTCTTCGGGATCCTGCTCTCTTGCCGCCGAAATCTACGGAATGAGATCCCCATCCCAAATCGAGAAATCTCGTTGGCGGGATTACTCGTCGCTCCTACGATTGATTCTCAAATGGCTCAAGATAGCTACGTTTCATTGAGCCAATTAAGAAAACGAATGAAATTACCATTATCCATAAGATAAAATAGGTATTACCTTTTTATATTTATATTGTGGATTGAAAGTCTCTGACCATAACCACTCATGACGGATCTTCAGGCTAATGATGTTAGACAAGCATATCAAAATTCTTACAAAATATATTGAAGTATAAAAACATTCTTCAATAAAGCAATATTTGATAAAGCAATATTTGATACACTTGTAAACTGAAAATTCTCCTTTTATTTCAGAATAGAAGAAAACAAATTATATTTATCTCAATTCGACGACTGTAATATAGCTCTTGTTTCGTTTTCCTATATATAGTTAGACGTAATTAATAATTTCAAATATATTGTTACTCGTCAAGTATTAATTAGTTTTCGATATACTGTATTTCTAAATTTATTTCATTGATTTCAAATGTTGTTTTATTAAAGAATACTCACATTTTAATACGGTTTATAATAATTTTCCTTATATATTTTTCTCGCTTCTAACGGCGTTACAATGCAAGCTGGTTGTGTAGTGACAAACATTTTTTGACAGATTTTATACTTTGGTAAAAACTTAGTTGCGACAAGCGCATCTTTCTTATTCCGGTTTTTTTTTTATTCTCAAATCAATGAGATATGTAATCGTTGCGGATTCAAAGACAACTAGCAGCACGCGAATCGCGCGTTCTCCAAGCACACGTAGGCGTTTGTGAAATTATTCTTCCTAATGAGGAATATGGAAAGTATGAATTCGCGAGGGTGTCTTTCTCGCAGGTTTTCGTAACGGTTCTAGCAGCATCTTTCGCACCGTCGACTTTAAGTATATACCACCTTGGGAGCCAGGTAATAACTGCCAGTGGAATTAGAAACGCCGAAGAGTCGCGCGGATAGTGGATGGGATATACGTGACCGTAAGTTGATAGGTTTTTTTCCTCGTTCGCACATCGATGACGGCACACGGTATGCGTGCATACGCGGAAGAATTAAGCTGAGCAAGGTGGTATTTAAAATCCAATCTTCGCATTAGGAAAACATTTTGTACGCGACGTCGATTAAATTAATCTTCTCTGATTATTATCTCTCATGTTTCTTTCAATAAAGTTTCAATTTGTTCCATACTTAAAATTCAGAGAAACGATCAGCGAATGAGACTCTGCGTTGGTGACGCGGAAGGCAACACGAAATAAGTACACATGCTTGTATATGGCTCGAATTATTGTAATGATTACCACGTTGAAATAATACCGCGATTCTACTGTTATTTTCCATCTGTCAACCATACTTTTAAACCTCCAAATTTTCGGCCAAAAATTCTACTGTTGTATACAATATTATCCGGACATTCCAAACTTTCGCTACAAAATTATGCCAGCTGTTTCGACGAAAATCTCAATAACTCGAAATTAAATTTATCTCAATCATACAGATGCGACGGAATTCCCGACGAGAAAAGCCACGAGTTACATCATGTCCTGTTTCGGCGGTCACGACGAGCAGATCTACCTAATCGAGATATTGATCGATAAATTGACACTGACGCCCGATAAAATGAAAGACATCGGCGAACACCCTATCGTGATCAAGATGAAACTTTTAGACCTTCCCGTGTTCGAGTTCACGCAAGACAGTTCGGACGCACCGAAGCGTCGTGATCAAGATGTGCGTTTTATGGTTGGTAAATGCTGTCTATTTGCCAAGCGACCGCGAGATTTGGTCCAAGGATTGCGTTCGTCGAATCTTAAGCTCGGCGTGTTTCGCGCGGACGAGACTTATCCCACGGCGGAGGCCGAATTGACTCTGCCAGGCTGTTTGTGCGACCAGATTTCCATGCTCGGTAACGATCCAGAAAATCAGCCAAAGCCGTTTATAGTGAAGGACGGCGTCAACCTCGTAGATCCAGGCGAAGAGCCGTCTGGCACCCTGCATATGGAACTCATCGTCGTATGCCTCGGGCGTATCTTCAAGACACTCTACGAGTTGCGGCCTAAATCTTTCGTTTCCGGCGAGCAAGACAAGGAACGGGAGATCCGCGTGACACGATTTGTACCGCCCGAGTTTCTCGAGAAGGATGTGAAATTGCAGGAGATTACTCCAAAACCGGAAGACAAAAAACCGAAAAAGGAGCCAAGAAAGAAAAATAAAAAAAAGAAGGGTAAAAAATGATTTCTGTAGATGTTTTCCAAGAGCTCTGAAGTGCGACTTCTTACATTCGTCAAATAATTATTTTCGATTCGTCGTTATGGCAACTATCTGACAACTAGAAATGTCAATTGACCTGTTGATGCGCGCGCGGAGAGATTGTTCGATTTTAGACCCGAAACTCTCTCAAAATTAATGGCGCAATCCGTACCGACACATCGTTAACGTCAATCCGAAGTCCACTTTCTAAATTTGTCGTGTGGCGCTGACAACTTGCACGTATCTTCATTTCTGCGTTCGATTTCTGCCCGAAATGGCCTTGAAGAAAAATGTGTCGATATTAGAAGGAGAACAATTGTACATGCTTGAAATTCTTATTGATCATCTAAGTCTATGTTCCGAAAAAGCCGTTAGTAATGAAGGGTGCGATTTGATGATACGTATAGGTTTCGTCGATCTTAAACCTATCGACATCATCGCTCAGGAATCAATCAAGGTTAATGACGAAAGTACTAGCAGTAAGGAAAATGGATTTTCTAATAAGTACATCAGTTGCGAAGGCAAGACATGTCTGCTCATCCGGACACCGAGCAATTTAATACGATCTGTAAAATCGACTCCTCTAAGCATTGAAGTGTACAGGATTTCTCTCGAGGAGAATCATAATTCGCCGGATGATGCTAGATTCGTTCTCTTTTGCGCAGCAACGGCATTTTTGCCAAAAGGTTTTTGCGATCGGATAACTGCGGCCAAGAACAAGATAGATGGACTATCAAAATTGTACGCGTTGACAAAAATTTACACTTTGACCGATGAACATGGGAATCCATGCGGTTCTATATCCACGTGCATGAGGTTGTCGTGTTTTGGAAGCTCCATTATAAATCATCTTGTGCTTCGCGAAAAGTCATTCATACTTGGAGGATTTCCTCTCGGTTGGGAGCTTTCTTGCCCGAAACTGTCCGATGAAAGTGAACACAACGAGAGATACATGAAAAAATGTAACAACAATACGTCATTATTGTACAAAATTCTCGATCCTACATATTCAAAATTATACGACCAGGATGATCGTACAGAGACAGGACCTGTGTTGACGAGACCGGAATCGCCACCTCGCATATCAATGAATCAACCAGGATTCGAAAAATTAACGAGCGCCGAGAAATTAAACGATCACAAGTACCGTAGTTTAATTTACGAGATCTATCACGACGAGCCGACTTGTTCGTGTCTACCGACGGACCAATCGACGCATCCAATGATGTGTCGTTCTGGATGTGTCCGTTCTTGTTGCATGGCTTTAAGAAATCCCGAGTCTCTTAAAAAGTTTCCATCGCTCGCTACGCTTGCTTCCGATAATTTTTATTTAAAATCAGACGTGGAGCAAAACATGACCTATCGTAACTCTACGAGGCTAAGGGGCGGTGAAGACTCCGAAGATAATTATTCGAACAAAGCTTCATGGGACGAAGGATACACGTGGCATGAGAATGATATTAATTTAAAAAATCGTATGATGGGTGGAAGTGATTACGGTGCATCGGCCCGCGTGCTTTCCGAAGCAACGACCGTCATATATGAAAAAAGCAAGAAAACGGGTGCTAACTCGTCCTGCAGATCTCGGTCGAGAACAGCGGACAGGATTAAAGGGACAGACTGCATTTGTGCAGGGACTTGTGCGTCGGCTTGGAAAACAAATGCGTCTAAATGCACGAAAAAACCGTGTGTGGGTGCAGATTGTATGATTCGCGCCTTCAAAGAGGTCCAAGAATTCGTAGACTCTCTCGGCAAGGTGCCAGGTATGGAGGGTCTTGGCTTGATGGATCCATCCGAAAGTCCTTATTTCGGCCGAGACATACAGTGGGATTACACCATTCAAGAAATAGCAAACGAGAGAAAACGAGGATATCCCATTTCAGCATCGCCAGGTGTGCCAACAGTTCAGTGTCCCGCACCTTGCAATACACAGATTGGTAAACCTATCGCTAGTACTCTCTCCGCACCTTACCTTGCATCTACTTCCATAATGACAATAGTTCCAGGACGCTCTGGTGTTGTACGCGAGGCGATACCGTCATTACCGGAAACGATGTCGCACTCGGTCGCCGTCAAGCCATCAAAAAAGAAGGAGAATAAGAAGGAAGAGAAATTGGAAAAGCAGAAGGAGCTGGACGTTACAACCTCCGCGCCGGTAGACGCGGTCGACGTTGGTCCTTGCGGTGAACCGAAATGCAAATCTCGCCGGAAGAAAAGGGATGATCGAACGATACCGGAGGACAATGATGAATCAAAGACAAAGCCAATACAGACATTGCCGCCTGGTATCATCGCTGCGAAAGCTGTTGGCAAATTAATCGAGAAGGGACGATATCCGAAGGGTAAGCCAGGTCCGAGTGGTGATCGTGGTAGGGGGGGAGCTATCAAGATCAGCAGACGAGTGATGCGATACGTTTATTCTATTGGCGACGTCTATCCTGGGACTAATTACGGTCATAAGAATTGCATCGATCCACGATTTAGGGTGCCGGCTAACATGGGCTGGCTGTGGAATACGAGAGCAACGGGAGACAAGCTGAAGCCGCGAATCGGCTGGAAACCAGGCGCGATCGGGCGTTATTTGAATGAATTGCTAAAGGCAGCGAAGGGAGCTTCTATGGAGGATTATCGGGCAAGATCGATAACCTCGCGCGACACCGTGCGACCACGCGGCAAGGTGTACAAAAGCATGAGCTACGTGACCGCGCCAGTGACGAAGAAGGAGAAAGAGAGCGAGGAGGACGCGGAACCGCCACCGACCCTGCACATTCACCGTAAGGATGGCACGTACTACGTGACGATGTACCCGATCAGGCAGGAGACGACCACGAATGTATCGCGGCTGGACGAGCCGATGAAGCCGCTGCAGTTTAAGATAGCGCGCAACAAGGATGACGCCTCCGTCGCGTCGAGCTCCACGGCGTCGGACATGGAAATCGAATTCTCGCCGCCGGCGGCGGTCAACAGGTACCGCAAGAAGCCCGACGTGATTCACGTGGACACCCAGGTCAGGCAGCAGGAGATTCTCGATGCGTACAAGCTGGCGGACGAAGAAGAAAGGCCGAAGACGAAGGAGAAGAAAAACAAGAAGGAAAAGAAGGGAAAGAAGTAACGAAGCCATCTTCCCTTTTCTTCTCCTTTCGCTCATTAAACCCCCCCCCCCCCCCTCCAGCACGGGATCATGAAAGAGAAGCAGCTTTATCGAAGGTTTGTATCTCACCGAAAATTTAAGTGCAGTGCACGTTTTCTGGCGACCGGTTAGGTTATCCCGATCCTAATTTTACACGACGCGTTAAATTCGATTACGCGCAACCCATACTTTTCGTAAGTTCAGTCGGCTAATTGCGCGAATAATTTGTGAAGAAGAGGAAAGATGAAACGCCATTACATTCTTCGATAAATTTCATATCTCTAGCTAAAATGACCGATGTTATTTAAAGAGATGGAGAGAGAAATGATTATCTGAGTAATACTTACTTCTATATATGTATAATCCTTTCCAACTCGTCGCGATAAATTAATTCGTTTGAAAGATTTATCATTCTTATTGTGCAAAAAAAAAGAACAGCATGTGTTTAATATCGCATTCGAGATAATTTCAGATAGTGTCTATGCAATTATATAGAGATATGCGTTATCTCAGTCAATGCGTCGTGTATTTAAATCCAGTCTATTGAATATTATTTACGGAATCTATATCGAGTCGATTGAAAAACGTGTAATAGGATAACAAGTTTTATGCAGGCTATGCACGTTTCTACTAATGTAGATTAATTTTAATCTCGATTCAATTTACTTTTTATTCTTTTCTAATTCTTGCAATTAGAGAACTAGAAAAAGATAAAAAGTATCTAATTATTAAGCCGAGATCAAACGTTAATTGAGCTTGTAAATAATAATGTTTCTATGTATATTGGTAGAAAGAGGTTGGTAGGATATTAGTCAAGTTTGCATTAATAAAGTCAGATTGAAGGCATAAGCCACGTTATCGAAATACTCGGAATATGTATTATATAATTCGTTCCACCTGTACGGCAAAGTACGTTCGGGTAGAATGTAGACACTTGCGTTTGATTCTGCGAGCGACATCTGTGGACGGTGTGGCTTAAACTTTGCACGCGTGTAAAGTTTCTTATCTTATCAACGGGAGTTAAGATTAAGGGAAAGGTCTATTCGGTGTTTCGTTCTCCCGGTATTTCGACGAGATGAATGTCACAACACAGGATGAGAGGAATCAGATTGCGCGTAAGAGGATGCTCGATCTGCACGAAGTCCACGTGGGAAAAGTCCCGCAGGACTCGCCGTGGTTAAGAAGCATTCGCTTGCACTACATGCATGATAGCCAGTCTAAGACTTGGGACGTGATAACGATGCATGATAGCGTGTGTATAGTTGTCTTCAATACAAGTCAAAGGAAGCTCGTATTTGTTAGACAATTCCGGCCAGCAGTTTATTACGCGTCTATACCGGAGAAGCAAGAGACGATCGACGTCGAGCGTTATCCCGCGACACTAGGGATAACTTTGGAACTCTGCGCTGGTATCGTGGATAAGGATAAATCTCTCGTCGAGATCGCGAGGGAAGAGTTGATGGAAGAGTGTGGTTACGAAGCACCCACTTCAGCATTTAAACAAGTTATTACCTACGTGTAAGTCTGAAATATACTTACTACGCTCCAGTCACATGACTTGTCATTATGTAATAGATAAAGCTACTTATTAAGTTTAGAAGTAATGAGAGATGTTTCTACACGTATAACTTGCTCCGAATAAAATAAACTATATGTCTAGAATGTTTAAAAATGTTAAGTGTTAAAAAACGTAATTTTATGTTTTCTAGATCTAGTGCTTCTGCTAGTGCAAAGCAAACTCTTTTCTATGTAGAAGTTACGGATGACATGAAGCTACACCCTGGTAAGTTCAGTTGTAAAAAGCTTTTCTTAAAGTAATATTTTGTCAAGTAGCTTCAAAGAATATTTGTTCATAAACTCTCTTTCAAATATATAACAAAATTTTTTATCTATTTTGAATCTTTCATTGTCAAAGGTGGTGGTGACGAGTCCGAAGGTGAAGTCATAGAAGTGGTGGAATTAAGCGTTCCTGAGCTGAAGGATTATATGAGAACCAAAGAAGTAACAAGTCCCTCCAGCTTCCTCCACGGTGTGTCTTGGTTTATACTTAATAAATCTGAGTACTGTTAATTAGAATAAAGCTAAAATTTATCTTACTCGGCCCTTTAAAATAAATTAAAGAATAGCAAATCAATTGCAAGTAAAAACAAATGCTGTTGTTCAACCGCATTTATTTACAAATAGAGCATTTATACACAAGCAATGACGAGATAGTTGCACAATTTAAGTTATATAAAATTACAAGGAGACTGACTTCAATTAGTATTCAGTTCATCCTTTGTGAATTGAGAGCTAACCCATGCAAGACCCCATTTTAAATTTGTCAGTAGGAACTTTAAGGCCTTGGTCCACTGTTCTTCCGAATTGAATTGTATTCTGGAAAAGGAAAAGAGAAAGATCAAATACTTCTTGTATTATAGGTAAATTTTTCATGCATAAATTAAGTTGAAGATTTATTAACACTCAAACATACTTTATAGAATAAGAGTTGCCTGTTGCGGAATCTTCAATTTTACCTCGATCCATTCTATATGGCAGACAAAATTCACTGTCTCCTTTTTCTACTTGTTCTTTAAATTGTTGCAAACAGTCCAGAAATGCTACCATAGCTGCATCAAATTTTGTGTCCCATAAAAATTTAAATCCTCCACTTCCATACAGTGGAAGCTCTTTATTTTGATCCAAAGCCTCAATATAACTGTGATTGCCAAATGGCACTAAACGAAAACGCTTAAACGTTAAATTCATTTTGCGCGCAAGAGCCACCAGTAAAAGGGTTGTTTGTCCCCATGCGGCGTTTATCTCGCTCCAATCCACTGGTGCGCTTGGCAATCGTCCTAATCGAAATGAATTTATAGTTCCAAAGTGACCTGAATGCCAGATGTGAAATGTGGCGTTAAAAACATTCGTTTTCTTCAGCCTTTCGAGTTGCGAAGCTGCATACGCCAGTTGATTATCTAGACTGTGAGACAAAAAAAATTCGATTTTTTTCGATTTTTCGATTTTTATTTTAATATAATAGAAATAAAAATATTAATAAACAATTGTTTTACTTGAAAAACAACGATATTTATTAAGTACGCTTTGGGATATTTTATCTACCTGCGACATTCATCGTCAGCTAACATGAGATCTCTTCTGTGTTTTGAATATTCTTTCCAATACCTGTCCTCCTCACTTTGCAATCTCTCCTTTTCTCTCTCTTGTTCCGCTATGGCATTCCTAGTAGCTATTTCTTCTTTTCTCAATGCCTCCAATTCCCTTATCAATCTTTCTTCTTCGGCCTTTACATCCTGTAATTCTTTTGTGAGATTCTCCATTTCTACATCTTCATGCCCCTGATATTGTTGCTCAATTTCTAATTTCTTTAGGTATTCATTATAATCTGACCATTCTCCTTCTGTCATTCGTAATTGTTGATCCATTAATAGCAAAAGGCTATCTGTACATTCATCGCAAAGTGGATGATCTGCTGAACTGCTACTGCTGAGAATATCAAATAACGTTGCTCGTACCTAGAAAAATACATATCAATTTGTAGCTACAGTTAAGATTTTTTTTAATTATCTGTATACCTTTAAATGATGACTTAAGCTTTCTGTTTCACCAGAATCACCAACCAACATAAATCCATTTGTACCATTTCCTGATTCAGTCAATCTGAATGGTGGAACCAAGTGTTCTATACTGTCACTTTGAGGTTCCAATTCTCCGGCAACTTGTTGTTGTATAGGAACTACAATGAATTAATATAATTCACAAAATTAGTTATATACTAGACAATTGTAGTAAATTAAGTGATTATACTTGTGTATTCTGTTGTTAGACATTTAAACATATATAATTAACAGTTAACATAGTTTCTTTTTGTATAATGAATGACGGTGCATGTAAAGTTTAGATAGTTGTATTATGTAAAAGTCATTGTTTACACACATAGGTGCACAATGTTAGCTGCATTTATCAATAGAGTTCGTGCTTGCTTCAAAATTATTAGAAAAAGTCAGATTATTTAGAATGTTCTTGAAAATATAGATTAGCACGTCACACATTAGTCATAAGCATCCAGTGCAGAAGCGTTATCAACACAAAAGTATCAAGTGGGGCAATCGGATCAGTGATGAATGTCCAAGTCGCCAGTAGAAAATAGAAATTACCTACGTGAGAGTTCTGCCAGGGTGTGCTCCCCAAGGTGATCGAAACTCTGGTCTAGTTTCAACGGTTGCAGACACCGTTGGCATGCAAAACTGACGTTTGTCTTTAAGTCTACCATATCGTGTACGTCGCTTATCGAAGAAAGCTTCTCCGTACAACCTGTCCGTGCGCGTCGTTATTTACGAATACTAACGAATACGCGTCTGCTGCTGTCTACGACGCTGAGGTCAGCTGATGGTGCCTTGTCGAGCGACTATCAGTTGGCGCTGTCATATCAGCGTCGCGTCGATATCTCTTTTCTTACCGTACATTATATACTTTTATCACTCTAATATAGTATATGAGAACTATTATAAGGAGATCAATGGATGACGTTTATAATATATTTTTGTAATAGGCGCATTTTCGACCTTTCTAATTTTCTAAATTTATCAATAGATAACTATTCTTGTTATCCATTGTCGGTAATAATCCCATGTTTCTACAGCTACATATATATTTGATCGATTAGATCAGAGATTTCTAATATAATTTGGAAAATCTATCAATTAAATATTATTATAGATAGAGAGCGCGATAATTTTGATGAATGATATTAAATAAAAACCACTAATTATGTATATGTATATTGAAAAGTGCGTTTTCTCAATTTACGCGCGCCATCTATGATCAGTGCGCTGCACTAGTACGTAAAGTTGCATTTTGATAGATTTGAAATTGTCAATTGTTAATCGCGCGCGCAACAACTGATAGATCCGCGATGGAACTGCTCCGCATTTTCCGTGATCGTTTGCGTCCGAGAGCGGTTTTCATGCTCGTCGTGTCGCGAATGCATGTTGCAAAGTGTCGGATGACACTGCACTTAAAGCACTTGAACGCGATCGTTGTTATACGCTAGTACCGCGATCTCGATCTCGCCATCCCGCGTCTGTGCATTTAGAAGGAATGGCGTCACCTACGCCATATTTGTCATTGTCACTTCTCGTCAAAATTCATCGAAAATACGAGTTGTCGTACAATCATTGCAAGGTATGTACTTATCGCTACGCTCTAATGTTTTCATAGCACGGAAAATTGATCTCGGAATATGATATATCATGTTAATAGCACGAAAACACGACAATTCGTCAAGTAAACTTCGTGCAATCGTAGCGTTGCTTTAATGACGAATTCTTTATAAATCAACACATCTGTTTATGCAATTAGTAAAACGATCAGTTCTTTGCATCCACGATCAGATCATTGCTTACACGTTCTGTTAAAGACGCGAAATCGCCGTAGTTAATAATTTGCAATATTAAGTGAAAATTGACCGATGAGATCAAATATGTACTGAGTGAAAAAAATATTTGGACAAAGTGGTCCTTCGTGCCTGATAATACTTTTTGTGAATTTATACAATTTTCAGTTCAAGCTGTATACCGATTAATTATTAATTTTTTGAAATACAATCCTAAATTGCAGTTGGAGTAGTAATATTACAATGGCACGCAATTTAATATTATTGTTGCAAATAAGCATCTTTGTTAGAAAACTATTGATGATTTAATGCTAACATACGTCATAAAAACTGTAAATAAATTATTGCGAGAAATATTACTCCAGTTGGGATTTAAAACACGGAAGACATCTTTTGTTAGCTAACGATGAATGTCGCAATTAAATAAAATATCCCAAAATATATAGGTAAACATTATTTTTTGTATTGAAAATGTATAATAATCATACTGCTAATAATTAAAAAATGGATCCATTAAGATATGTGTTAAATCTATACATTTTTACATATATTTAATTAAATATATGTAAAAGTAAAAAAGTTTATATTTTTTTGTTTAGAAATGGAAAAATTGTTTTGTACAATTTTTGCATCTGTAAGCCGATGCATATATTGTGATGTTACCGACTATCGACAGTTTTTAAAATTATTTTTTAAATCTTATTTGATAATGACAAAACTTTATATGGAGAGTTGATATCTAATAATGTTTTACTAATGATCATATGTAATAGTTAACTGAACACTAAAAGAAACGTATACATTATCATTTAAAGGTAAAAGTTTATGTAATACTTTTTAATGTGATTAGTTTGTAAAATTTATTATAACTAATAAAAAAAATTAAATGTTTTATATAAGTAATTATTGATGTATGTAAAATTAATATTTTTCAGGAGACTGTGAAAATCTTCGGGCTATTGAGCTATTTTCGAGTTACACAGAGGGTGCTCGGTGAGTACCAATTAAATGCTGCACTCTGGTGGCGGTGATTTTAGCTTTAGCACTAGCAAATCTGTTTCTCGACTTATTTTCTTTTTTACTATTCAATCATTTACATATTTTATTACTTTATAATGGCTTTTTTATACAAAAATATTCTGTATTAAAACAAATTTATCTAAAAAGATGTTTTTGTTGAATTAGAATTATATATTTTTATACTTGTGAAACAAGTGATTATTTTTTTTTTAATTAAAAAAATTGTATGATTCTCTTTAGCATAATTGCTGATATCGTAGGTAATTTAAAATATCGCAGAAGAAAATTTATTTTAATATATACTTTCTTTGTCTAATTAACGTAAATAAATTTTCCTCCAAACCAAACAAAAATGTGTAGCAGTTATAGATTTACTTGTGCTATTATTTGCATGATTCAATCAAAGATTACGTTGCATCTTAAATATGCATCGTTATAAATACACGTCAGAAATCCTCTCTTGGTTAACTTTAAATTTTATATGACGTGCGAAAGAATTACTTCCCAATGACAAGGAGCACGATGGAACTTAATATTTATATGACGGCCGGTAGCTAGCACCAATGCCACCAATTGCCATGTACAAGTTTATGTTAATGTTGACGAGCATTTTAAGCGATATTTCGTCACGTATGCATAAATATCGAGTGGCTGCCAAGAATCAACAGGTGGCA